TCTTCATTTTCTGACTTGTTTCTCAAGTTACTGCACTAAGTTATTGATATTTCAATTGAAGTCCTATTTTAGAAGATCTTAGAAGGTTCTAGCTTCAACTACAGCATTTCTACCCAATCCTGAATACCTAAATTACCCCTGAACTTAATCTGAAATTACTAACCTAGTACTAATTAAACCTCAACCCCTTTTACCCTGGTTAAGATTATCAGCTATAACCAAACAGTCCACTTAACTATGGTTAACTAATCAAGGTTAGAATCAGTCGTTTACAATCCAACAGACCCTAAAATTAAACTAACTGGACAAATTGACTAATCATGAAATTAGATCTAACAATAAACTACAGTTAACAACTAACATCAAGTTGCAGTAAACAATCATGGAATTTAATGATAAAGAACTCAAACACAGCAAAAATTAACCAATTACTATTGATTAGCAGAGGATGAAACACGAACAGATAAGAAACAGACAAACAAACCAAAAAAAAAAAATCAAATCCTAAATTGATTAATCAAGAAGGAGTGACAGTGGTGGAGGAGAAACTAATTCGAAGAATGAAGAAAAACAAAGAAAACTTACCCATGAAGTCCTAGGGTTCTACCGCTTTTGTGATCTAAATTCGAACACCTTGGGCGAGATTTGAAGGCCACTAATGATGGATTAGGAACGAGGGAAGTGAGAAGATCATATGATATCAATTTGGTGAGATTTGGAGGATTTAGGGTTGAGGCCAGATTTTTGATTTGAAATTCGAGGAGTTTGGTGAGGATTCGAAGGAAACAGGCCATGGATTCGTAAAGAGGGAGATGAGGAGGTTATGTGGTGTAAATTTGGGGCCGTTTGGTGGTGGCGCCGCCATGGGCGGCGGAGGCGGCGTCCACAGATTTGATTATTTGAGAAGCTTGGGTTGGATTTGAGGGATGATATTTCGAGCTTTGGAAAGAGGAGAGAAAGGCGGTTAAAGGGTGTAAATTTGGGTGTCATTGGAGCTTCGCCGCCAGCGGAGGCGATTTCCGGCCGGCGGCGGACGGTGGAAGGCGGCGGAGACTTGAAGGGAGTCTCTAGGGTTTATGTGGGTGAGAGAGAGACGATGGACGGGAGGGGGGGTAGGCTCATCCGACATTGATATATGAATGTTTGCCCAGTTCCTGGCCGTAGGATCAAGAATCCTCGACGGCCAGGATCAATTACCACTTAAAACGGCGTCGTTTTATTACAATAGGGCTGGACCGGGTAATTTAGGTTGGGTTTGGACCAATTTAGCCGGATTTTGGGGTTTGGGCTCGAGTTTATGGCCCAAAAATGTGACAGGCCAGCTTTCTTTTTCATTTCAATTGTTTGTTTCAACACTTTTATTTAATTACAATTCATTTTCATTTCAATTCCCTTTTTCCCCCTTTTTTTGATTTTTGTTTAATACAAAACTAAAATTAATAGACCTGATTTAATTCCAAAATTTGCACTAATTAATTTTCTAACCTAATTTAAAAGAAAGCCAAACCAAAAATGTAAAAACGACTATTTTGTTATTTCTTCTCTTATTTTGGTAATATTATTTAACTAGTAAACCTAAAAAAAAATAAAAAAAAATTGGGTTCTAGATGCAAATGTGCTATTTTGTAATTAATTTTTTTTTATGACAACTAAAAATGCACACAAAAGGCAAACAAAACACAAAATTATGCAATTAATTCCCTAAAATTCAAATAATAAAAGAAAAATCCTAGTTTTAAGAATTCTGTAGGAATATTTGAGCGAGGCAAAAATCACATGCTCACACCTTTATATAGTAGGTTAGTATATATATATATATATATATATATATATATATATATATATATATTATATATATATATATATATATATATATATATATATATATATATTATATATATATATATATTGATATTTTTAAATAATAAAAACACATCCAAATTAGTCAATACTGTTATAAATTCATATTGCAACTACGATTTACTAAAAAAACCTAATAAATCGATTGGTAAAGTTTTTGGTTAGTCCAATGAATTTTTGAAGAACCATTAACGCTTTGGTGGAGAAGGATGAGGAATTATATAGTGCAGCTTTGTCGGGTCAACGTAGAAATGATTATGTTGATGGATTACTCCAACAATTCAACTAACTGACGACGCCGTTCTGTCCTTTAACTACCGCATACCAGGAAATGGCAAAGCTTTAGCCATTATGTTCGTAGCACGCTTTGCTTGTCTTATGGATTTGGCAATAATTACAATAGATATAGGCGTGGAGTTTCAAAAGAGGGTCAATAAAAAAGACAGCTCTCTCGTGTGCAACTTTTTAGTTAATATACTATGTTAATTTTTTTTTCTACTAAAAAGTGTTAATTTGCAGTTGTAAATTATTTAAATATCTTCTTAATTATTATTTGACCAAAAAGAAGACAAGATATCCTTCTTGTTAGGACATGAAAACTCAAGTGTCGTGCGAAAGCTAGCAAAGCAACACTTGAACGACGATAAATCAAATAACAAAAGAGACAGATATCAAAAGAGACACAAATATTTAACGTGGTTCGATCAATTGATCTACGTCCACAGCGGAGACGAGCGATCCACTATATAAAAAGAGAGTACAAAATATCGAGAGAAAAATCTCACGAATAGGCAAACACAAGTATAAATATTAAAATTTTGGATTTGCTTAAAAATTCTGAACTCATAACATTAAAATTTTGGATTTGCTTCTATAGAAAGTGAATTATAACTCTACTCTATACAAAACTAATAATATTATTTTTCATGTGTAGCAAATTATATGTCATTATTAATGCTTATAATTCTTGATCTAAACAGACTCAATGGTATCTTTCCCATTAACCATGTCTCTTGCCTATTTGAAGCAGAAAGACATGTCTCTTCCACTTCAAACAAAACGAAGAAAGAAAGATGTGTCATTTGCTTTTAACTGCTGACAGATTTTCCAAGTAACTAAACGAGAAAATCGACAAACCTCCTTCCCCAGCGACAATTTCCTGATCAACAAACTGCCATATATAATTTTTTCCTTTTTCCTTCACTTTTCATTTGCTTTGTTATGATTGTTCTACGTTTGAGCTTTTGTGTCTGCTTTTTCAGTTGTTTCTATCATTTCAAGTGTCTCGTTTCTATGTTGTCTTCTTCTATAAGTGCCATCAATTCTCTGTTTCCCCTCATTTATAACATCAGCTGTCCCAATCTGATTTTTACTTCAATTTTTTTAGACTGAAAAACGAAAAATATATTGGGAAAAGGAGCTTTCACAATAAATCTTATTACTGAGGACTAGTCAAGACTTCGATCCGTCGTTGTCTCTCTATCTCCAAAAGCACTTGTTTTTATTTCTTTTCTCCGCTTACCATACCGTGAGGTGATTCCAATTTCATTTTACCCCGCCATGCTAGGGTGGATTGATCTTTGGTGTAAGTAATCTCAGGATTATGTTACTTGTTTTATGCAATTAGTTATTCCACCTTTATATGAGATAACAAATCCCACTATTTTAGAGTAAAAGTTATTTTCGAATTAATTAATACGTCTGTATGGGCCGAAATCCGATCGAGAAAATTCGGCACGAGGAGGTGATCAAGCGTGAGAACTGCAGCTCGACACGGGCGGCTTGGTCGAGATCGATCAGCGGTTGACAAGAATGAGCCATTGAGTGGCTCATTAGGGTCGAGGCCGAGCAGTAGGAACAGAAGTAATGGCTAGTATAGTTTTGGAACTTTCAAAGGAAATATTCCATTGAATATTTCCCCTGTTGTACTTTTTAGAGTTCTTTGGGAATATTCCATATAAATAGTAGGTGAGATAAGGCAAAAAGCAGGTAAGATTCAATATCATAAGAACTCTTATGAAAAGTTGACTCTCAAGAGAAATACAAACATTGTCTTTCCATAAAGATTCGATTTGCTGTTTATCCCATCTTTTTTCGCATCAGATCCAAGAAAGCCCCCTATATTCCTACATTCATTTGTCTTGAGTGATTTTATTTTGTGTCTCACACAACTTACACTAGTTGTGTGAGGCCTCTTTTTATCTCACATATTTGTGGACCCATATCTTATACATATGGGTCCACAAAATTCTAGGACCCACACAGTTGTGAGACAAAAAATAGACCTCACACAACTAGTGTCAGTTGTGTGAGGCACAAAATAAAAATTTTCATTTGTCTTACATCATTATCAGAGAGAAGAATCATCCACCTCATTCAATATTTGGGTGAATCATTCTCTCTATTTACATTTATTGCCATTTAATATAGTTATTGCTTATCATTGTTCCTCCACTCACTAGTAATAACATCATTTAATACCCACTGTATTAAATTGGTTTAAACGCATTTTCACGTTACTTGTATAAACACGTTTAGATCTAGAATCTATTAAGTTTAACTAGGATTTACCTATTATCTTCTTGTTTAATTGGTTTAACAAAAGGTTTCATACTTTTTGGTCAAACAACTTGGCGCCATCTGTGGGGACTTTCTAGTTAAAATTTTAATTTCTTCTAAATCTAAAAAAACGCAAAAAACCTATACACTCCTCTGTCTGCACAAATATAACATGGCAGGCAACGGAGAGGAAAAGAGGAAAGTGATAGCCCACCACACCACCAACCTCCTCCACACCATTAACGAAGCAAATGAAAGGGATGGCGAAGATGTAACACCAAATGCCTCTCCCAGGCGAAACAGCTCGCCCCCTCCTCACGGTAGCATCACGACCTCGCACGTTAAAGGGGACTCTACATCCACAACAGAAGAGACACCACCGGCAGTGAAAAAGCTACTCGAGGCGTGGTTGGCGAACACGCTAACCAGCTTCCTCGACAAGCTCACTCAAAGGCCGAACAGAGAGGAGGCAAGCGTTTGCGTTGCATTAGTAGCTGACGAGCAGCACGCCCCCTGTCACAGGTACTACTCACAATGCTAGTGATGCAGGTAACGACACCCTCACAGTCATTTTGAAGAAGATGGAGGAGATAGAGAACGAGAACAAAATGCTCCGCAATCAAATGAAAGAACATCAAGAAAGGGTAGACAAAATACCGGGTGCACCAAAGCTTTTCACAAAATGGGACGCCGGCCGGTTCGTGGAACAGCCGTACAGTGACGAGGCTGCACCATACGCCATACCCAAAACCTTCAAAATACCGCCGTATTTAAAAATATATGACGGCACGATGGACCCTGAGGATCATGTGACCCACTATGTCACTGCAGTGAAAGGCAACGACCTCGCCAAAGAACAAGTGTCGTCCATATTGCTGAAAAAGTTTGGTGAGACCTTAACTGAGGGAGCGCTGACTTGGTACTCACAGTTACCTGCGTGTTCCATAGAAACATTCGAGGAGATGGCAGACAAGTTCGTCACCACCCATGCCTGGGCTAAGAAAGCAGAGCCGAGGGTAAATGACATATTCGCCATCAAGCAATCGCCTGGCGAGGGACTCAGAGACTTCCTTGCCCGATTCAACCATGTAAGAATGACCCTTCCAAATATATCTGAAGGGATGGCGGTAGCCGCTTTCCAAAATGGGCTGAGTAGAAGTGGGTCGAGGGCGACCAGGAAGTTGCTAAGCCGTCTCATGAAATACCTTCCAACCACTTGGGACGAGATACATAACGCCTACTGTGCCGGGGTAAGAGCCGACGAAGACGACCTCAACGGACCTACCCAACGGTTGAACTCACTCCAGATGGAGTCCAAGAAGGACCGAAAAAACAACAACATGAGAGATCTAGCAGGACCCCGACCCAATCGGGAGAGACATCAGCCTTACGTCAAAGCGCTCTCATGCCGACTCCACGCCATGACGAAGGCCCATCCAGGCCACGAACAGGAACCCACCGAAGTGAGAGAGGTATGCCCCCTTTGTTATCTGCTCACAATTTCTATGTTTCCCCTTCAGAAATAGTCTACGCACTGGAGAAGCTCGGCCCAAGGGTGAAATGGCCGAAGAAGATGAGATCCGACCCGAGCACCAGAAAGTCAAATGCCCTCTGCGAATTCCACCAGGAGTGGGGTCATAAAACCGAGGACTGTATCTCCCTAAGGTTGTAAACATGCTCCACCAAGGGCACTTGAAAGAGCTGATGAGCGATCGGGGAAGAGCCAACTTCGCCCGAGGACGTGAACACCACCAGGGACCGTCCAAACCACCTTCCCCGACTCGAACCATTCAAATGATCATTAGAGGAGGCGACGACGCATCAATCAACAGCGTAAAGTTCACCACCACCCACAAACTCAAACGATCGATCACTCATGAACGGTATGATGAACTCGAAGAGAGTATCATCTTCGATAAGTCGGATACCCACGGTTTGGTTTTCCCTCATTGTGACGCTCTTGTCATTACTTTACGCATCTTAGACACTGTTGTCAAACGTATTATGGTTGATGATGGGAGCGACGCGTGTATCATCCACCCTCGAGTTCTCGCACAAATGAGACTCGAGAATAGGATAGTGTCACGCTACATCACACTGGCAGGTTTTAATAATGCAGTCGAGCGGACATCCGGAGAAATAACACTGCCCGTCCTGGCAGGCGGTGTCACTCTGGAGACCACATTCCACATCATGGATCAGGATACGGCATACAACGCCATCAAGGTCGACCTTGGATACACACCATGAAAGACGTCCCCTCCAGCTTATATCAAGTCATTAAATTTTCCACCCCTTGGGGAGTATACAACATCCGATGAGAGCAACGCACTGCCCGAGAGTGCTATCGCATCGCCCAAGACTGCACATACACCTAACAATGGAAGGGCAAAGCCGAGGAAGCATAGTAATTAACGAAGTCGGGGTCGGACGGTGATGAAGGGAAAGACATTATCAAAGAACCCAAAATCATATATAGAAGCCACGGGATCAACCATCGACGATCTCGACCCCGTCCAACTCGATGATAACAACCGCATCGAGAAAGTTTTCATCGGCCACAAACTCCAAGAACTAGGTAAATTCCGCCAGTTCTTAAAAAATACCATAGTCCTGTTTGCTTTTTTCCATGCAGATATGCCAGGCATCCTGAAGGAGATAGCAACACATAAACTAAATGTCGACCTATTCCACCCCCTAGTGCGGCAAGTTAGAAAAAAATTCAATGCCGTGATAAATGAAGCTGTCCGCGAGGAGGTGGAAAAATTGCTTAAGAACAGCTCCATCAGAGAGGCAAAATATCCCCAATGGGTCGCCAATGTGGTCATGGTAAAAAAGAAAAATGAGAAATGGCGGATGTGCGTAGACTTCACTGATCTGAACAAAGCCTGCCCGAAAGACTCATTCCCACTCCCCTATATTGACCAGCTCATCGACGCAACGGCCGGGCACGAGCTATTAAGTTTCCTAGACGCTTATTCGGGCTACAAACAAATCGTCATGGAGGAAGAAGATCAAGAAAAAACCACTATCATCACCCACGGGGACGTACTGCTACAGGGTTATGCCGTTCGGATTGGAAAATGCAGGGGCGACGTATTAGAGGCTTGTAACCACAATGTTCAAGGATAAACTTGGCAGAACCATAGAAGTATATATAGACGACATGTTGGTCATGTAGAAAAGAAAGGAAGACCACATCGACCACTTGAGAGAAGCCTTCGACATACTCAGGAGGTACGACATGAAATTGAACCCTGAGAAATGCGCCTTCGGTGTAACCTCGGGGAAGTTCCTCGGTTTCTTAGTATCGCAGCGAGGCATCGAGGTCAACCCCGACCAAATCAAGGCTATAGAGGGGATACTAGAAAAACTGACCGGTAAGAAGCAAGTATAGAAGCTGACCGGCCGTATAGCCTCCCTGTCGAGGTTCATCTCACGATCCTCTGATAGGTGCCACAAAATTTTCATCGTACTTAAAAAGACAACGGACTCCAATAGAATTCCGAGTGCATCGACGCCTTGAAGGAACTAAAGTCATACCTGTCCTCGCCCCCACTACTTGCTAAGGCGAAACCCAAAAAACGTCTCCTCGTCTACCTGGCCATGTCCAATGTTGCGGTAAGTGCAGTTCTGGTCAGAGAAAATAAAGGTACGCAAATCTACTATATTAGCAAAACCTTGCTCGACGTGGAGACGAGGTATCCCCACCTTGAGAAGCTAGCCCTAGCCTTGGTCATAGCTTCACGAAAGCATAGACCCTATTTTCAGTGCCACCCCATCTCAGTGGTCACAACCTTTCCTCTAATGAGTATCTTGCACAAACCCGAACTATCCGATAGATTGCCAAAATGGGCCATAGAGCTGAGCGCGCACAATATAACCTATCAGTCGCGAACGGCGATGAAGTCGCAAGTACTTGCCGACCTCGTTGCCGACTTTAGTTTAAAAATAATGCCCGAAGTCGAAAGGGAAGCTGCCAATACTTCCACCAAAGTTCACGACCTATGGGTTATGTACAACAATGGCACTTCTAACGCTTCAGGATCTGGACTGGGACTCGTGGTCAAGGTCCCAACAGGCGAAATAATTCGCCAGTCCATACGGTGCTTTGATATGACTAACAATGAGGTCGAGTATGAGGCCGTGATTGCAGGATTAAAATTGACACTCCAGTACGGAGCACAACGAGTAGTCCTATGATGCGACTCACAACTCGCCGTCAATCAAGTCACAGGTACTTTCCTAATCAAGGAACAACAACTATAGAAATACCAGGCTGAAATCTGCAACTGTTACCCGAGTTCGATGAATGCCGGCTCGATCAAATACCTCGAGCACAGAACATCGAAGTGGACAGTCTCACCAAACTGGTGGGTAACATTGTACTAGATTAGCTTTTAAACATTAGAATTTCTTACCTTAATCTAGTATTATGAATTCTATCTTAGTTTCTTCTTTAATTTCTTCATTTTCCATGAGTAGTTAAACCCTTAGCTAGGGTTGTGACCCAACCCTAGTATGGGTACTTAATGGGTAATTGATTTAGGGCTTATTTATGATTGAGTGTATGATATTTAGCCTAATTCTTGCTTGAATTTGAGAATTGATGGTTGCAAATATTGATTAATGCCTATTTGACTTAGTCTCTACTTGAGAAAGAGAGACTAAGTCTAGAAAAACTTGGCTAACTAGGAACTGGGGTGAACTTAAGAAATTGATAGCCCCAATTAAAGGGTCGAACCTAGAGATAGTAAGATCCGACTAGAGCATTTATCACTTGCTTTGTGAAATACTCGTTTGGACTTGAGAAAGCCAAATCGAGCAAAATCAATCAAACTACCGAGAGGTATAGAGTGAGTAATAGAGTGTGATTTCTATATTGTATCCCATAAACCAAACATGCCCTAAAGCTCTAAATCCGTTAGGTAACTAACTAGGTAGAGTTCGCAACCCTAGATCTTTCATAACTTGAAAAACAACCAAAACAAAAAATATTGTCTCATAGCTCTACAATTACAATGAATAGCTTAAAAGTAGAAGTAGAAAAAACAATATAAAATGTGAAAGTGTGATTTGAGGCACATCATACAATCAGTCTAGGTGTATACCTAATTCAAAATCTAACTCCTTGTGGATTCGACCCCGACTTGCGTTGGATTTTAATTATTGCTTCGACCGCCTCACAACCTATATTTGAGGTGTGAGTTTGGGCGACATCACACCCCCTTGCATTGTGGTTAGGCTCACCATATTTGCTGCAAAATATTTGAGTCCCCTTTCTTGATTGACTCCATTCTCCTTTTTTTTCCTTGCCTCATCCGGCTCCCTGTTTCTCTTAACTTTGGGCCTACCAATAGTTTTCATAATATCAGGTGGCTTCATGTCTTGAGAGGGATCAAATTTCTAGAATTTTGACCCCTCAATGGCTGCATCTTTTCCTTATATGTCAGCATATAAGCCTCTTTAGTTTACCACCAACTTATTCCAGTTATAGGATCCACCTACTCATACATCAGGGCCTTGATTGCGTGGAGGGCATGGTATTCCACCCAAGTCCCATATCCTACATGTGCATATCTTCCTCTCCAGATTGATAGTGTGTCTATCTTCACCTTCTGAAAACTCATATCCATGATCACCATTAAAATGTATCTTGCAATATGAGGAAATTTGTATGTAATCACTATATAGTTTCATAGCTTGTGGACTGTAGTTTGCATTCCAAGTCTTTTTCACTTCATTGTTCGCCAACATTTTCATTACCTTGATCCTTATTTCTTCAAGCATTTTGATGATAGGCTTGCTTCTAGCCTCCAAAATTCATGCATTGAATGATTCAGTAAAGTTATTATCCACCATCATATTCTTACATTGTATCAAAGAAAGCTCTGCACCAAGCATTTGGTGGGTAATGTAATATATCTTTTGCAGCATCTTCAGATAAATCTCCCAATTTTATCAACTGGTCTTCAAATTCCTTCTCATAAGTGCTCCAAGAACACCACCACATTTATTTTTTCATTTCATCAGTACTCCATTTTTTAAACCAATTAGCCTCAACATCTCTAACACAGTACCTGTGATGTGCTTCTGGCAATACACTCGACACAGCATTTAACAGTCCCTGCCATAAATGCAAAATAAAGTAAGATAAAGTTGAAGTCTGAATTAATATGACTTAAACTAATCCAAAAAACTAAAATATGACTCACTTCTGCATATATGAAATAAATGTCGTTCCAGCACCATCTTTAAGGTCTAATGACCTCTTCAACATATCCATAAACCAGGTCCATATCGTGCTGTTTTCTTTGTCCACCACAACCCATGCTATTGGATAAAAATGGTTCATGGAGTCTTGGCTAATAGCAACCAACAATTGACCCCTAACCCTTCCTTTTAAGAAAGTCTCATCTAAACCAATAAAAGGCCTCAAATCATTTTCCCAACCTTGCTTCAAAAGATGAAAGCATATGAACATTCTCAAGATTCTTCTCTTTTCCTCTAACAAGGCCTCCTTTGATATGCTTATAACAATATCACTGCCAGGATTAGTTTGCTTAATTTCATGGGAATATACCTCAAGCTTATTATAATCATCAAGAAAGCTTCCCTCCGATTTCTCCAAAGCTAGTCTTTTTGCCCTTTTCAGCTTATATTTGGACACATTTAAATTGAAACCATTTTTAAGTTCCTCCCCTCATTTCACTAACTTTAAACTTGGGATTGTTTTGGACTTTATTCTTGAAGTAATGAGCTAATGTAGCAGAATCAACTCTTTTGTCTTAAAAGCATCATCACAAGTGAGTTTTGACTTTAAAGTTTAAATTTTAACCGCCTGAGTGTTTCTATCCCGAGAGATAAGACAAATAAAAGGGCATCCATCTGCACATAAATACCTGAATCTGGTTGAATCACTTTGCTTAACCCTCAATCCTTTCTTATTAATTACAACATAGAAATTGATGAATTGCCTTGCTTCTTTCATATCCTTGAAGGTCATGACCAACTCCAATTCTTTAAAGTTTTCTAGATTACCACTTACAGTTCTTCTCCTCTCTTGGTTAAAAAGTTCAAGTTCCTCAGGATTATACTCATCATAGTCAGATGCGCCAAATTCAAACAAATTATCTCCTTCCTCACACACACTAACAACAACAACTTCTACATCAAAATTACTTTTGTCATGTATGATATTAGGTGATAAGGAAGTCAAGTCAAGCTCGCACTCATCAACAGTAGCAACATCTACATCATGATTTTCTTTGTGATGTATAATATTGAGTGAAATGTAGTCAGGTCAAGCTCATAATCATCAACAACAAAGAAATTAATAATACTAAATTGAGAAGAAATAAGACACTGTAGTGACCTCATTCCATCATCATTATCAACTATATAATACTTGCTAGATGTGCCTATCACCAACACTTGCTTAACTTAATTAAACCCTAGCTTAGAGGTAAACTCTCCGCTAATGTCTCGAACAGATAACAAATCAGGATCAAAATCAGTTCACTTGTGCACCAGATTCTTGTTGTACCCTAACTCGGTTGAAATGACCAAGTGACCCCCATAATTGAAAATAATTTTCACTTTGCCAATCATCCTGGGAAGTAGTCACATGCAAAAGAAGAAACAAACAAATACATATGGACTACTTCAGTTATGAGAAAAGAATAGAGTAATCAAATTAAAAAACGGTAAAATTAGCAGACCAAAATAGGACCAACAAGAACCTGACAAAATCATAAAAAGACACACCTTTATACATTAAACTATCATTTTTACCAGATAATTTTAGCAGAAACACCTCTATCATGTGTTCCTCTATACAAACGAAAAGCGAATCCATACACTTTCATATAGCTTTTACAACCCGACCCCCACTCAAATGAAAATATTTTCAACAATGCAATCTATCAGTATAAAAGCTACTAAGCTTCATGGAATAACTGAATCTCTCAAAGAAATCTTGTGGGAAGCCTCCTTAGTTCGGGAACCCAAGCAGCAAAAATTGGGAAAAATGATAAAGGGGCTTTTGATTTTGTGGGGGAAAAACAAACGAGGGGAAGGGGTTAATAATTGGTAAGTAAATTAAGTAGGGGTGCTGGTAACTGAGTCTACGTGGCAAAAAGGTGCTGAATAATAAGTTTAATTATTTTTAGTGGTCATCCGTTTGGGTAAAGGGTATTTGTGCTTCAGTTGAGTAACGACAAGGGTATGAAGAGGCTCAACTTTTAACGGAGGGTATATTTGCTCCTAGTTGTAAAGTTTAGGGGTATTTTTGGACCATTTCTGTTATACAAATATTAAATATAAATTGAGACAAAAAAGATATTTTGTATGTGAATCTCTTTTTGACAAGGGTAGGCCGAATTAAGCTTGTAGAAGACTTGTAAAATTTTTCAGCGCATGATTTTTGTATCTAGAAAACATATCTTTAATAAAATAATATTTTCCGTGTAAGAAAGTTAAATTTTAACGAAAAATATTTTCTTTAAAAAAAGCATCTAAACGACATAGTAGTACAAAAGTTCAGAGAAGCAAAAAGACGATGTGGTAAATAAAAAGGTACAGCGGGTGAATCAAAGTGAATTGTCGGTGAATTTGCAAAGACTAGTGACAAAAGACACTATCAAATCATCAGATTGGGAAGGGACAGGACCCACCCCTTTGTAGACAATAGACAAACGCACGTGAAAGTTTGGTTTTTTGTCTCAGCCTTCAATAGTATAAAGCACATTTATTATATACTATTGTTATTGTGTGCTGGTACAATAATTTCACTTAAAAAAGAAATGAATGTGATGGAGCGTTGAACTTAACCAGAAAACCTTAACAGGGACAGTTCTAATGCAACCGAGGGAGGCAATTCTTCACTTAATAATGCTTTATCATAGTTACTACCAGTATTGGTACTAGTTTATTATGGTACTTGCAGAGGCGGAGTCAGAATTTGAAACTTATGCGTTCGGAATTTTAATTTTCTTTAAATTTTTAAGTTCTAAATTAATAATTTATACATATTCAATGAAATTTTTAAAATAAATAGGAGTACATGAATTGGACCAAAGCAACTGAGTTCCGTCGAACCCGTACTCAATGGGTTAGCTCCCCCTGGCTACTTGCACGATGATTAAGTGTCACATAACACTATTAATAATGGCTATGCCATTCTCTGTCAATGTTAGTAATATTTTTGAAAAGTGAGAAAATCACATAAAATTAAGACGAAGGTAGTACTTACGAGGAATATTCTAGATAGATATTTCGAAAAAAATACCTTCTCATAAGAACATTTTATTCTTTAGTATTGGAAGTAACATTTCTACCTCACACAATATACGATTAAGGTTGACATACACCATGCCCTCATCGGAACTCAATTGTGAAATCAAATTGAGTATGTTGTTCTTTTACTCTTGAGTAGACCTACATGATTAGTTTAATCAGGGAACTATATATATTAAATTGTTAAACTAAAAATTAATAATAAATGTACCAGTTACACATTTTATGCTTGGTTTACCTTGTTTAGGGTCCGTTTGGCTATAAAAAAAATTATTTTTTTGGAAAATGGCCATGAAATTTTTATATTTCACTTGAAATTGAATTTCTACATTTTTTGGAAGTTTTAAAAAAATCCAACAAAATGTTTTCAAAATTTTCACTTCAAATCGCTTGCAAAAATTTAAAAATAGCTCCAAATTATATTCATGTCCAAATACATCTTTAATTTTCAAATATCATTGTCACTTAAATTTTTTTTTTTCTACTGTTTTTTCGAAACTTCACAATTCTTATGTCCAAATGCCCACTTAGTTTATTAGTCCTTATATTCCTATTCAAAACCATTCTCTAGTTTCTTCTTTTACTGTTTCAGATATAATTGTTTGTGTGCCACTATCCCACTACAACTGTTCCTTTTTATTCCAAGATTCGCTCTTTCTTTGTTGCCATATTATAATTGGAGGACCCAAATACTTAATGAAACAAAAGAAATACGTAGTCTACAGAAAGGCTAAGGAACCTTCTTTTCTGCATCAACAAAACCTCCTCCTTTTCTTGTTTTAACCAGAACCCTGATCATATCCTGAACCAACCTCTCTTCTCTAGTTAGTACTAATCAATATTCAAAGCTTTCTCAATAGTCTCTTGACAAACTTTTCATCCTTTTTTGTTTCTTGTAAAAGCTGTATTTGAGCTGCTAATCTTATTCAAAGTCCATGTCTATACCAACAGAACATGATTACATAGGTTTATCTTCTTCTTCTTCTTCTTCTTCATCTACTGATTGTGAGGAGCTTGAGAAAAGCAATGTTCTTAAGCTCAAGGAAACTGAGCTAAGACTTGGGTTGCCAGGTTCTTGGTCTCCAGAGAGGAAGGCTGAAAATGGGGTGTCTCTTTTTGGTAAAGATTTGGAGGATAAGAATACTATTGTTGCCCCTTTGAAGATTTTTGTTTCAGGAGCTAAGAGGGGATTTTCTGATACCATTGATTCCTCTAGGAAAGATAAGGCTGTTGGTCCTCAACCTACAAAGTCTTTTGAAGAAAAAAAGTCTACTCCAGCACATGGAAATGGTGTTTCTCATGCTTCAAAGTAAGTTTGCCGCCACACACATCGTTGTTGTTGACATCGGTTTCTCTGTTTTATGTAATTGAATTGGCTGGACTTGAAACCTTTAGGCCCTGACTCACTGACTGCAAGAGGCTAAAACGGATGAAACTGGCCCGAGCCCTGCTAATTTTTTTTCTTATACCAAGACCACATATCTGTACTTAGCAGTCTTAAAATTATTGTCTAGAGGAGAAAAAAGGAACGATCTTTGTGATGTATAAAAAATTAGTCTTATAGCATATTGCATTTAATGAAATGGCCTCAAGTGGAATGGAATTAATAAAGTCGATCCCAACCAGCTTGGAATTAAGGTGCGATTCGTGTTGTTGATATATGTTTCTCTGGTTTGTGTAATTGAATTGGATGGACTTGCAGCCTTAGGTCTGGCTATGTCACTATAAGATGCTCGAAGGGATTAAATTGGTGCGTTAACCTTCTAATATTTTCTTTCTAGTGCTAAGACCGCAGAGTACCTACTAGTGTGAATGTTATGAAGTCTTGTTGCTTCTCTGTCACTGCAAGAGGCTTGAAGGGATGAAATTGGCATGTACTTCTGTTAATTCTTTTTGTAATACGAAGACTACATATCTGTGCTTATTAGTGTGAATATATTGAGTCTTTTTACTATTAGCCTAATAAATGGATTGCTATTATGTTCTGTATTAGGGCACAAGTTGTGGGATGGCCACCAATTAGATCATTCCGCAAGAACACCCTTGCCACCAATTCATCGAAGAATAACGAGACTGAAGGAAAATCAGGAGCAGGCAGTCTTTATGTTAAAGTTAGCATGGATGGCGCTCCATACCTGAGAAAAGTCGACCTCAAAACCTACACCAACTATGCAGAACTCTCATCAGCTCTTGAGAAGATGTTCAGCTGCTTCACCATTGGTATAAATCTCTCTCTTTATAGAATACAAAGAACAAGCAGTCATGCAATGTTTTTGGGAGGAAATTCAGTTCTGATTAGCAGGATATTAGTGGTCTTAATCAGACTAAATGCCCTCATCTCTTGTTGTTATGTCCTCTTGAGAGCATCCATTTAGTCTTGAGAGCATGCTTCTTAGGTTCTTGGCTTGAACTTCATGTTGAGGAGTGCAGCTTTCATTTTCCTTTTCTGTCAATCATTTTCAGTTACTTGTTATAGTAGTGACCACAATCTTATGAAACGTCGTAACTGAAAAGCTTTTGTTTCGTGCATGCGGCTTACATGTTATGTGTAATTGTTTTTAGGGCAGTGCACCTCTGATGCTGGACGAGAGGGGCTTAGTGAAAGTCACTTGATGGATCTTCTTAATGGTTCTGAATATGTGCTGACTTATGAAGACAAGGATAGTGATTGGATGCTTGTAGGCGATGTTCCTTGGGAGTAAGTTTTTCTTCCGACATTCTGTTCTATGATTTTAGAAAATGGATTAAGTGATTTTGCTTGTCAATTTTGCTCTATTTAGATGACTTGCATTGGGATCATATGTTGTTGGAATGTAACTTTAGCAGCTTGGAGTCCACATTAATTATTTTCCATTTTTTCTCTTGTTCCATATCAATCCTTTCCTCTGTCTCTGATCTTCAATTCAGGATCCAGATTGGAAAATTTAAGTTGTAAACGCTATTTAAATGCACATTTCATCGTCTATACCTCTATTTATTGTTTGATTTGGATCTTGAAATAGGATGTTCATAGACTCATGCAAGAGACTGCGGATTATGAAAAGCTCAGAGGCAATTGGACTAGGTATGTCCTGTACTGAATAAGAATCTTGTGCATGCCATGTAACACTTGCGAGTTCCTCCATCTGCACTTATCTATGGCAACTCGCCTCCCTGAGTTGGGGAAAACCATCTTATAGTCCTGTTTAAGAATACTGCCATGAGTTTTTTACGTTGCATGTATCATCGGATTAATATGTCTTTTATTTGTCAACCTTAAACTGGCTTGAAATGATTCAAATCTCTTGCTTTGCAGCTCCAAAGGCCTTAAGCAAGTGCAAGAACCAAATTGTTGCCTAAAGTTGCTATGAAGGCAGAAAGATTCATAAAATGGGAAATGCTTTTGTGTAAAAATTATCCTTTTATTGGTTCCACTTCTGTAGGCATTCCATGAAGGGGAGGAACTAACTTGCCAGAAGATACGATCAGCTATATCTAGATTTTTGTAGGCTGAAAACATCTCTGCTGAAATTTTTAGTTCTTGCTAGTTCTTTTAGTACTTTTCTATTTTAATTATGTCTTATATAATATTGGATTGATATGAGTTTAAATGGAGCGAAATAGGCGGTGCAGATTCATAGTGTCACGATCCAAAATCTAACTAGTCGTGATGGCACTTAATTCAACCCGCTAGGTAAGCCAATTAACAACTGATCAATTCCAATGAAATCAATAAGGCAATTATCATAAAAGGAAATATCTAAAACTGATACATTTTTCAAGGATTGGTAGTACAAATTATGAGCTTCTAAGATTAGAAAATATAAAGCTGGTATGAAAAAGTTACATCTGTTCGAAATGATATACAGAGTTTTATGAATCTAAAGCTACCATGAACAAGAGACAGCTTTAACCGGAACGCAGGTACATCTTAAAATTCAGCTCCCATTGAACATAACAACGTCAGCATCCAACATGCACGCAAAGTGCAGAAGTGTAGTATGAGTACAACCGTCCCTATGTACTCAATAAGTAACAAACCTAACCTTAGGTTGAAAGTAGTGACGAGCTGGAGCAAAGGTTGGGTCCAACACCAATAGCCAACAACAGTCCATAACAATGTAAAGCAAGTAATAAAAGAAGTGAATCAGAGATAAAATGTTCAAGTTAAATCATGGTTTCTGAAAATAGTTCCACCTTTCAAGTATATCAGTAAAAATTCAAGTCTTTTATCGAAGTTGCCAAAAAAATATAAATAAGTTTGAAACAGTAATTTTCCCAAAATTCCTTTCAACAATAGATAAGATGTTTCGTTTTCTTTCCAGATATGCATCACTATGCCCATATGCCAATATGTGTGAGAAGTTATGAATGACGTGATACCATACATCATGAGGAAGATACATCTCTATGCCTGTATATCATGTGTATCTCAGAGATGGACTCATGTACTCACACTCTCAGAGTACTCAATCTCACTATCTTTCACTTTCCACTCATCATGCTCAATCACTTAGTACTGTATATGACCAATTCGGCCCTGGAAAGATCCATCTCGGAATATATACATCAACTGACCATTAGTCACTCAGCACTGAGTAAGGCTAATCCAGCCCGAGGGGAAGATTCATCCCCAGGTATAAATGCCTTGGACAAGATCTATGTCCAGGAAGATCCATCCCTCAATATAAATGCTTTGTACAAGATCCATGTCCAGGGAAGATCCATCCCTCAATATAAATCAACCATGCTCACTGGGTGTATGTACAGACTCCGGATGGGCTTCTTCAGCCCAATAGCACTATCATAAACCAGTATAACTGCTTCGATGTGTAGCCCGATTTCATAAATTTCCCTTATAAATCAGGCCCTTGGCCTCACTCAGTCATCAATCTCTCCAGTCTCTCTCATGGTCGCACAATGTCATGAAACTATCCCAAAGATGATGATATGATGTATCAATAAATAACAACAGAGATTGAGATATGATATGCATATCAATGCGTATGACTGAGTATGTAATGCAATGAAAGCAGATAACTTAACAACAGAAATGACCTCAGTGGGTCCGAACAGGATAATCATGCATCCTAGACATGGTTTCTAACATGGGTCACGGCTCAATAGCTCAAGTACATAAAAATTTTATGATTTCAGGTAAGGTGAGGTAGCTACACAATACCACAGAATTAACGGAGTCATAACTTACACGGTGCACGCCCACATGCCCGTCACCTAGCATGCGCATCACCTCAATGCCAATCATATATTACGTAATTCAGGGTTTCATACCCTCTGCACAAAGTTTAGAAGTGTTACTTACCTCGAACAAGTCAATTCCAATACCGAGCAAGCCAAGCAATGCTCCAAATGCCATCTCGCGCGTATCGACCTCCGAACGACTCAAAATCAGTCAAAAGCAACTCAAATACACCAAATAAAGCCCAAGGAAACAATTCCAAATGATAAAGATCGAATCCTTAATTAAAACCCAAAATCGGCCAAAAGTCCAACTCGGGACCGCGCCTCGAAATCCGACAAAACTCACAAAATTCAATAACCCATTCAATTACGAGTCCAACCATACTAGTTTCACTCAAATCCGACTCCAAATCTGTGTTCAAAACTCGAAAATTCATATTATGAAACTTTAGGCCAAAACCCACAATTTCCTCTTTGAAATTCATCAACCAAAAGCTAGAATCGAAGATAAATTCATGAAATATAACCAAAACCGAGTAGAGAACACTTACCCCAATTCACATGGCAAAAATTGCTTCAGGAATCGCCTAAATCCGAGCTCCGTAGCTCCAGAAATGTGAAAATGGCTGAAACCCCCGAAATGGAGTACTTTATAATCACTGGGCAAATTAATGAACCGCAATCGCGGGATCAACCTCGCGACCGCAAAGAAGGAAGAGCACTTCCCTAGAAAATACACAATGCGATCGCGAACGAGGCTCCGCTAACGCGAAGAACAAGCTCAGTAGCCTCCCCAAAGTACCCTACGCGTTTGCGAAACATAGCATGCGAACGCGATGAACACATGAATCTGTAATACGCGATCGCGACAATGTCAATGCGAATGCGAAGAAGAATCAGCCACAACCCAGCTCAATCCAAACTACTACGCGCACACGTGCACACCGGCGCGAACACGATGCTCACTCCGCAACAACCTACGCGAACGCGTCTGAGAACCTGCGAACGCGTAGAACAACCGGACCCTAGCCATCAGACAACCTTACGCGATCGCGTTCCTTGCTCCGCGATCGCTATTAAGAAAACTAGATACCTGAGCTCTGCAGAACCAGCAATGAAAAATGAAGGAAAAATAGTCCAAAATCAAACATGCCCGAGCCCCTCGGGACCCCGTCCGAACAAACCAACAAGTCCCGGACCTACTCGAGGCCTCACAACACACATAACAACATCGAAATGACGAATCACACCTAAATTCACACTTGATGAACTTTGAACTTTTCAACTTCCATAACTCGTGCCGCAACATAGCAAACCAACCCGGAATGAACCCAAATTTTGCACACAATTCCCAAATGACATAACAAAGCTATTCCAATTTTTGGAACAACAATCCGGACCCGCTATCCACAAAGTCAACTCTCGGTCAAACTTGTGAACTTTCCAAACCTCCAAATTTCCAATTTTTGCCAATTTGTGTCGAAACCTTCTAGAAACATCCAAATGCAAATCTGGGCTTACGCCTTAGTCCAAAATCACCATTCGGACCTAACGGAACCATCAAAACTCCGTTCGGGGGTCGAATTCACAAAAAAGTCAAACTTGGTCAACTCTTTCAACTTAAAGCTTCAACAATGAAATTCATTCTTCCAAATCGATTACGAATAACCTGAAAACCAAAATCGACGATTCACATAAGTCATAATACATCATACGGAGCTACTCATGCCTGTAAATTAGCGAGCGAAGTGCAAATGCTCAAAACGACCGATCGGGTCGTTACATCCTCCCGTACTTAAACATATGTTCGTCCTCGAACATGCCAAGAGTTGTTCCCAAAGCCATCAAATCGCCGAGTAACCTTACCATGCACATACCCGGAGGTGATCCCACGTCACCCTATCCCATATAGGTCTGATAACACAACATAGCAAAAATTTCTTAATTCGACCTAGCCTATAAGCCTTAGAATCCAATCTCCACATCAGGAATTCTCTGTAAGATCAGAATCTCGCATCAACACTCTGTATAAGTCTGAAAAAGCTGTACTGACCATAACTCAAATACCCAAAACTCAAATACCACATAACTCAAATGCTCGTAGCAATGATTTCTAATTGCAGTAGCTGCTCAAATCAACCCACTACCGGTAATAACCTCATAACAAACAAGGCCTCGTTCTAAACCTTCGTACACTGCGAATGATGAAAGAAGCATTCAGAACTCATAACCATTCATTATACCAAAAAGTCATGGTACTCCATCTCCTTCGACAAGACTATAGTCAATTCCTAAGCCGACTTTCGATATTATCCCCCATACATGCTATAATCAAGCCTGAAAATATCCATTCTCGGTCCAATGACCTCATCTCATCCAACACAACCCCTCTAGTGACATGCCACATCAATACAACCTAACGCCACAACTCGTGTAATCCGTGCACCAATAAGCAACAATCCGAATGTACTCAATCATGAAAAATGAGTCAAATGAGAGAACCGTCCCGCAAACTCAACGAGTACAACCACAACGTAATGCTAAGAATCCATCACACACCGTAGAACCAAAACACACTAATCTAACACAAAGGATCGTACCTCATAATTCTGTTGCAATGCATGACCCATCCAAACACTGGTCCATATTATATACCTCAAGCCACCCTGCTCAAAATCAATACCACGCGGAATTCGACATCAAGTTACCAAAGTGCATTACCATAACCACGGAGAAGCAAATGATGCAATGCCACACAAGCCTGAAAGAACATAACCAATGCGCAATAAATCATGCAACACCCAAATACCCATCTCGCTCAAATTCACTATAAGGCCCAAATAGAACCGCATTATGTGTGCACATAACCAACAGATCACAACCCCTCGTAGCATAGAAAGATAACTCATAGAACATATCAGAACACAAATAAGCTCAACTCTAACCGAATAGCACTTCCCTCAACAACAGCAGTACGGAGTCAACTAATCCGACCCAGTGTAGAATATACATCCATGTTGGGCCTACCAACGAGCTCCAAATCAACTCTGGTCATCCATAAATAGATAATTAATCCTCCGAAGGTCCACAATGACAGGACCATAACACATACCACCCTCTGGCTAGCTTTGGCCCAATTTTCATAGTCCGCAACCACGAAATAATATGTTTCTGAGAACTCCCAGTCTCCAAATCCAAAGAACACACGCATCACCATATCTGTTCCCAACTCCACCGCTTGAATGTCTAACACATCTCTCATACACGATCATCCCTCGAGGAATACTTCTCTAATTCTTCTGTGCCACATAGCAGTATCTGAAAATCAGCAGTCGATCAACCAGGCAAGTACCGCAATACCAATGAAGCATTCGTAAGTCAAAACACAGTGCGCCTTCCGAGATGTGCACCCTCCTCAGGCAAAACCAAA